GGTCCTGAGTTGTGTGTTAGTGTCTCCTCTCCATGTGGGAACAACTGGATTTTTTTTCTTTCGAGTGGGAAAAGTATTTAATGAAATACTTTTGAGTTCTCCTGCTCCAGAGCTTTGGTTCAGAAGTGCTGTCAAAGGAGCTACTGGAGGCTGAAGTCAGTGATTCTGTGACATGGCAAGAGTGGGAGTCTGGAAGTGCAGGAATCTTTGTGGGGGAAAACGATTAAGTAAAATGGGCAGAAATTGAAATGAGAGAGGTTCAGGGTTCTGTTCAGGAGCATTTTTTTTTTCCACTGTGAGGACAATCTCACTTTGGAGCAAATTGTGCAGAGATGTTCTGCAGTTTCCATCCTTGGAGATATTCGAATCCTGACGAAAAAGCTTTGAGCAGCCTGTTTGGATCCTTCTGACCCTGCTCTGGCAAGGAGGTTGGATAAGAGACCTACCAAGTCCTCCTGCCTTAGTGGAGGAGCGTGAAGTGAAGGTGCTGTATTATCCTCTCTGTGCTTTGTTATGGAGAAGTCAAGGAAACTTTGGAGCTGGAGGAATAAAATGCTTGACAACAATTATTATTGGGGTGAAGAAATGTAGATTACGTCTGCCAAAAATACTTCAGAGAAACCAAAAATCTAGTGTGATTAAGTAGAAAGAAGCCATTGAAAGTAAACGTGAGGGTCGCAATACCGACTCTTTGGATGAAAAATAAATGTATTTATTTATTAACTATTGAAGGCATAAAACATAACAGTGCTTTCAAATATAGCAGCAAGCGTTTTGGAGAGTTTACTTAGCCATCGCGTGTTTGAAGTGTTAAAGATATGTTCAACAACGGCAGAAACGACGTTTCTGGTGTTGCTTTTCACTTAGGTTACCGTGTTGGCAGACCCCTTGGAAGCCGACGCCTCGGAGAACCCGTATCAGGTTGAAGCATCAGTGGAAGAAGTTCCACTTGGTCAAATTACTCTAAAGAGCCAACACGACCTGCTGCATCTCCAAGAGTATTAAAGGGGCTCGAGTATTAAATCATTGTGCTGTGAATTGTGTTATAAAACACAATGTGAATTAGGCCCCAAATAAATGTATGTGGGTAATGGTGAGGTCGGCTTTTAATAAGACTGCAGTAAGGAATAGAGGGAGGAGTGCTGGGGTTGTCCTAGGCTTTTGCATCATTGGCAATGCTTCAAACTATGCCCAGAAATGGAACGAGTAGACCTGGATACGTGTGATTATTGTGGCAGAATCAATGTATGTTAAATGGAAGAGCTGTTGGAAGGAGTGCTGGGGTCGCCAGAAAGCTTGAAGAAAATTCCCTTTGCTGAACTTTTGAAAGAAACTAAACAGCTGTGGACAGCTCTTGAATTAGCAGCTGACTAAAAGCTTTGGACAAGCCTTGGTGGAAGTGACTGGTGATCTTGGTGCTGGAGGGAGGTGATTAAGGTCCCGCGTGAAGCCGTGCTGGGCTCTGTGCAAGTTCCACGGCGGTGGAGGACAGTGAGCTGTGACCGAGCTGCCCTGCGGTGTGTGGAGGGGACAGGGCGATGTTTTAGCACTATTTTTCCCCCTTTTTACATAACAAATTTGAGTTTTGCAGTGACAATGTTGAGCCTCTGACTTGTTGGCTCTTGAGCTGTAGAAGTGTGCTGGTGATGTGAAGGGGGTCTTTCTTATGCCTGCTTTCATTATGTGTTTCCCTTTCCCCTTTTGGAAGGTAGGACATGTATTTATATGTCTATCATTAGCTCAGCTATGCTTGATAGAAGCTAATACTGCGTAGAAGCAGGGATTCTGCACAATTCACAAATGTGCCCACACTGCATAGTCTTACAGATGGTCTCTTGGTTGTGTCTTGAATTACAGGGTGGTGAATGATGGGCAGGATCCTGGGCATGGGTAGCATCAGTTGAACTCCTAGCCAGGAGCCCTAGCAGGGAGCCAGAACAGGAAACGCTCTCCTTGGGACAGAAAGCTTCATTTTTCACAGCAGCAAATGTCATTGCTGCCTCCATGAAATGCTATGGACATGTTGAGCATCATGGAAAAGTTGTGATGAGAGTTCTCAAGTGAGATACCCGTGGCCAGTTTGAAGAGATTGTCTTGCTTAACCTTTCCCTCTTTGCTGAGAAACAAGGAAGATGCAGCTGTGGTTTTCAAAGGTCTTCTGAAAAATAAGTGAGCATTTTTGTTGGAGCACCTTTGTTGGACATGTTCAGGGTCATGATGGTTAGTAACGGAGTTCAAATTCATGTAGCAAATAAGAATTATGGCTAAACATTAGGTTCTAACCCAATATTTCTTTTTAGTAACTCCAAACTTTCTTCCCCTCCAGTCTGCAAATGCCCTGTGTGTTCTGCCTTGCTCCGACCTATTATGTGACCCTGCTGTGAGCAGCAGGTTGGACAAGATGACCTCCTTTCAACCTCAGTTGCTCTACGAGGTTGCGCATGAACACTGATCCCAAGGAAAACACTGTTGTTGTGTTGTTAAAGGCTGTGAGGTGCAAGGAGTGGGTGGATGTTGGGTAAAAGAAGGCTCATTTCTGACCCTTCTGAAGTTCTGGATCTGGTTCTGGCGACCTCAGTGTTGTTTTAATCTGGAGCACTGGTTTGATTGACCTGGGTTGGTTGTGATGACTCCCGTGGCCTGCTCTTTGGCCAGTGCTTGCCCCCAAGCACAGACACCTCCGAGCAACCTGGAGCTGCTCATGAACCATTGCTGTATGGTCGAATCAAGCTGAACTTCAGTGGTGGTGGCTGTGGAGAGCACTGGTTCACTAAAAAGTCCTGCTTTCCTCCCTACTTGTTTAATAACCTTTTTTGTTTGGTCTGGGCTGCCTTCAGTCCTTGGAAAAGTTGTGGCTGGAGAACTAGTAGGTTGTTATCTGGTTACAGGGTAGATGAAGCTGGGTCGTGAAGGGAGAGTGTTTGGGAGCAGAACTTCATGAGAGCCTCATTAATGGAGAGGAGAGGCAGAGCAGGGGTGAAATATATTTGCTCAATGACCTACCTGTGTGTCCTGTTCATTCAACATTGCTGATCGTTTGCCTTACAAACTTTATTTGGGGGGGCAGGGGGCAGTCTTGATGCTTGTGGCATCGCTATAAAAGCTGTAGGCAAAAGAAGTGCTTAGGAAGAGATGCATTTGAATAGCATTTATCTACAAAGCAAATGGAGAGCTCCCAGCCAACAAAAAGAAGAAAGGCGATTTTAAAAACTCCTATTTCTCCCTTTTTTTTTTTTTTTTTTTTTTTGGAGGGGGGAAGGAAAGGTGAAGAATGGCAGAACGAAGATTCTTGGGGTGGATCATTAAACAGTTCCGCAGTGTGGGAAACATAATAGGGCACTAAAGAGCTACTCGAGGTTGATGTGAAGACACGTGGATGTGGGTGGCCTCCTGGTGAACTGGAAGGGCTTGGAAGGCAGAGCTTTTGGCCAGTGGTAGTGGTGGATTGTAGGGGTGATGGCAGTGGGGAGGCTCTGCAGTCTGGAGAGCAGAATTGAAAATTGAGAAAATCTGTGAAATCCCATCTTGGAAATCTAGAGAGATGGCCTCAAACCAGCAAAACAGAACTTTGAATCAAGTGCAGAGTGCAGTGCATATTAGGGGGCAATATGCATACATGCAGAGAATTAGATTTAAAAATTGCAAAAAGGAGTTGGAGTAATCATGCAGTGCAGCATGGCTTTGGGTTCCATGGAGCATTTATACCTTTCAAAACTGGTTAAAACTCAGTGCAGCATTTGAGCCTATGATCTTGCAGATCCCTGGAAGAATAACTTGCTGCAGTTAAGAGGAGAATTGTGTTGAGCACATCTTGGAATGAGACTTGCTGGATTTGCAGCTTGGATTAAAATAGGGTTTTGTTTGGTTTTGGGGGTTCTTTTGCTTTTTGTTTTGTTTTAAACATGATCTATGAAGAGAGGTTGAAGGGATGGGTTTGTATGAAGATGGGAAGGTAAGAGGCAATTATCTCCCACTCCAGAGAAGTCTATTACAAGAGCTTGAACTTCATTTTGTGTAAGGTATGTGTGCTCTATCCCCTTGGACAGGAAAGCAGGCGGGGGGAGCACTTTTTTCCAGTAAAGTTTTGTGTGTGTGTTAAGGTGCGTGATAGGAAAAATTTATAACCACATTTGCAAAATGCTCCAATATGTTACTAAGGGAACTTCTAATGCATTTTTGCTGGGGATTGTTTAAGCACGTTTTGTCCTATCTCTGAGTGAGGTTGGACTAGATGAATTTAGGGCATACCTAGAATTAAAACCTTCCATGTGCATTTCTTCAGTGGACTAGCCTGGTAAATGAAATCTTTATTCCCAAGGCATCAGCTACCCAGAACTTAAATGTTGAAATATAAGCACATTTGTCAATACATGTGGATTTACCATAGCGGAACAGCTGCTCTTCTCATTGTTTTTCTTATTTCCTGTGCTCAACCACTAGATTTGGCAAACACATTTTATTTTTACCTTTGCTACAGAACTTGCTCTGTAATTAAAAGGAACCTGTGCTTTTTTTTTTCTTTTTTTTTCCCTGAATGAAACTTTTTTTTTTTTTTCTCATGACCCTAAATCCCAGAGTTTGTGGCTGGCCAGGTTACTTGGGTGCTGGTGTGTTAGATGCTGGTGTGGTGCTTGCATGGGAGAGGCCTTGGTGTGTCCCGAGCTGTCCTTGGGTATGTTTTAGCACAACGTGATTGTTGGTTCCAAATGACCCTATGAGTAAATGGAGGTTGTCTGAGAAGGAGATGCTGTCCACAAACCCTCCCAGTAACTCCATCCTGTGTCTTTTCCATAGGTCCCTTGTGCAGGGACTTGTCTAATGATGTATAGGCTGTGTGTGTGCATATATATATATCTTTTTTTAATTAGAAAATAAATGGAGTTTGTGCAGAGAACCTGAGGGGGTTTTAATACTCGTGACTCATTTGAGAAGCTCTGCTTTGGAATTGTCGTCTTTCCACGTATGACTCATTCAGTATTATATCTTTCTCCAAAATCTTGATGAGTTTTGCTGTGTGGGAATATGAGTTGACAGCAGCATTTTTGCTTTTTTTCTTTGCAGAATTTGGTGTTCATTTAGCTGAATTGACTGTAGATCCCCAGGGAGCTCTGGCCATCCGTCAGGTGAGTTTTGCTGAAGCTGTAGCAAGTTACCTAATGATTACATTGGGTTTGTCCAGTATCCCCTCATGCTTGCAGAGGGGCTGTTGGAGGTCGTTTCCCACTGTTGCTTCTCCCTTTTCCTTCATTTTGCCCTGGGGTTGGCACTTGGACAGTGCCACACTGGGAACAGGCGCATAGAAGCTTTACTAGATAGGTGGTGGGCATTGGCACGCAGAGATGTGGCCTGTCTTTGCAATGGCTTCTTTTTTCTCTCTCTCAAAGTCTTTCTGCTTTTGAAAGGAAGGTCTAAGCTCTCTATTTCTTTAGCTACATGCAAATCGTGGTCTTCAGCATGTGCTCTTAGAGGTTTAGGAGAATAAAGCTGCCTTTTTGTGTCAGTGCAGGGTGGGCCATCTTGCTCGTCTTTCTCCTGCAGCAGCTTTTTGTCCTCTTCACAAAGAGTTTTGCATTTTTGGCAAGCCCTGTGGCCCCCTAAAAGCAGCTTGATGGAGTGGGAGACCAAGCAAACAGGTCAGGGGTGACGCTTGCCACGGTTGCAAGATTCCTTACGGATTTGTGACCTCTCTTCCAATACAGCTAGCGTCCGTCATTTTGAAACAATATGTGGAAACTCACTGGTGTTCTCAGTCGGAAAAATTTAGACCTCCAGAGACCACAGAAAGGGTAAGTTTTGCTTTTGTTTCGTCTACTTTGAGACATTTTATCTGAAGAATATTAACTTTTTATTTGGTTTAAAAAGTGTCAGTATCTTCCTCATCAATAGCTCGTGTATACTGAGAGAGTAGTTTCAGATAAGGCTTCTTGGTATTTTTCATTGTAAAACTCTGCCTTCACTTGCTTAAAATCACACTAGACTTCAGAAGCTTGGGCTGATTTCTGTTTTAAAAAAATAAAAAACAGACATAATGCTGAAATACTAATTCTGGTAATTTTTTTTTTTTTTTTTTTTTAAGATTGGCACTTAGGCTATTCTCCCATGACTGATTTCAAGTTAAAGGTCTTTTTGGTTTCATTAAAAGTAGCCATCAAAAATCTGCTCTGTTCAATGGAAGTGTTTCCTAATAAGAAACAATGGCCAAAGTTTCCAGCTCTATCACTTTGGTTCTTGACCAGACCATCTTTCCATTGCCTCAAGTAGATCTTGTAAATTAAGTCCAAAAGTGCTATGGTGTTTTTTTTTTTCTTTCTCCTATTCTTTCACGGTTGGGTGTCTAGTTCTCATTTACTAAAATCTTCCAGAGTAAGTGAACACAAACACGGGGGTTTATCTCAGCTAAGCGTGGGTATCTTCCATGTAGATATTTACATCTTATCTAATTGCAGCTGCGACCTTGAAGAGGCTATTTACTCTGCTTGGCTGAATGTTTTGTATGAGAAGAGTGATGCATTACAACTGCGCAATTTTTCTTAGTAAATTAAGGGTGTTCAAATTTACACTTTTTGAGGTCTCGTGGATGTAAAACTCCAGTTGAATCCGTGTCAGAACAGTTGTATGTATAAAAATAATTTTTAATGGTCATCTTATGTCATTGGGGATTTTTTTGGTAAAGAATATTTCTCTCTATAGGCAAAAGTTGCTATTAGGGAGCTTCTACCCAACGGGCTGAGAGAATCCATTAGCAAAGTGCGCTCCAGTGTTGCCTACGCAGTGTCAGCAATAGCCCATTGGGACTGGCCTGAAGCCTGGCCTGAACTTTTCAATCTCTTGATGGAGATGCTGGTCAGTGGGGATGTGAACGCAGTGCACGGAGCCATGCGAGTGCTCACAGGTACGCGTACGTAAGAGCTTTGCAAGGGTGGTGTAGGAAGTCCTCCAGGGTTTTTGTTACTTTGGAGCTGTCATTTACACTGCAAAATGAAGAAATTGGGATTAGCTTCTTTGAGTTGGGTTGGTCCCAACCCATTCTTTTTGGTCGCTGCTAAACTCCATTGCTTGATAGATGGCATGAAAGCCAAGGAAGAAGCGCTGGTGTCAAATTAGATGGTAAAGGTTATGGCTCATTTTAACCCCTTACTTCCTGCCTAGTTGCAATTCTGCATGTTTTTATCCTGACCTTCAATGGTTGCCATGGGTAGGCCATACTGCAACAGTCTAGTCAAGTATGAACCAACATATTTTTAATTGTTAGAGTTATCCAAAGATCGGATTGTCCCTGTTGCTATTGCCTGTGATTTTCTTTATAGTAACTTCCTATATTTTCCCATTTTCTAGAGTTTACTCGGGAAGTGACAGACACACAGATGCCACTTGTTGCGCCTGTTATTCTTCCAGAGATGTACAAAATTTTTACAATGGCAGAGGTATGGTATTCTTTATTGAGCTAGTGCTAGATGGAATTAGGGGGTCTTTCTTGAGGAAAGAAGTGTACTAGAAGATAGACCTGAAGAATGTTAATGGTGGCAGCTAGTGATTCCACAGAAATGTTAAAGCCAAAAAAAGACCAAAAGGGAATCAAAATATATAATAATAAATAAAACACAATAAATAAATGCAATAAATTGTGTTTCTGATGCATCTGTAAATTATTTTTTTTCTAGGTGTATGGTATACGCACAAGGTCGCGTGCAGTGGAGATTTTTACCACCTGTGCCCATATGATCTGTAACATGGAGGAACTGGAAAAGGCAAGAGTTTGACTTACCCTACAACATTCACTGAATTCAAATTGAGTGGAGGACTATGAAAATTAAACATATTGGAGAATTTGGTACTCCATAAACAATAATTCTGCGATAGATGGTCTAATTAAATACATGCAAAAAGGTCAAGTCCCTCCTTTATGTGCACGTCTTGATCCTATGACTTGGTCTTTCTCAACAGATGTTCTTTTAACATGTCAGATCAGGGGATGCCACTGTGGGGAAGAGTCAATGTGTGATCTCCTTCTAGGAATCTGTTATACTTGTCACACATGACAACCAGAAGCTGTGTCCTAAAGTACTTGCTAGACCTTGGCAGTCTGGGTTGTGACGGGCAGCTTTCTGGCCCTTGGATTAGGCATCACTTACAAGGTCCTGTTTTTTAATTGATTGCTTTAGCATTTATGTCAGCAGGGTTGTTCTTGAACAAGCAGTGGGGAAAAAATGTAGAAGAATAGTCCATTAAGAAAAAAATCACTAAGCAATTAAGCAGCCTTAAATGCTTATAGGTCCCCTGCCTATCTCTGAAGAGATCACGGTGTTTTTTTGTACGGCCTCTGGCAGGTAAATTTCTTGACTCTCTCCAGACACCAGAGAGCTTTAACTTTGGGGAGTTGTGGGTGGGAATGGACAAGTCTCTTAATTTTAAGTCTGTGCTGAAGGGATATATTTACTCTTCCTGTTTGCACATGAATTGAGTGCAGTGTTTTAGAATGTTCCAGTAGTCGCATGGTATCTGTACTGCACCGAGCAAGTCACTTGGGTGATAATATCGTGAAAATGATACTAGATTCCAAAAGACAGCATGTAGTAGACTCCACTGTCTTATTCTGGAGGCCAGACAGATGTGTCTTTTGGCCTGTATACAAAACTTTCTGGCTTTTCCTAACTCAAATTTCAATAATTAACCCTTGTATAAAGCATTAAGTTGATATTTCATAGGTGGGTTAGGCATACAACTTAGCTGTTTTATGTATGGAGTTATGATGAATAGTCTCAGTAAACATATTTTTTTCCATTAATAATTGCTGTGGTAAATACTGCTTAAGAAGTATCTTAGTGTCTGGAAAAAAGAATGAATAGAAAAAAGAATTATAGGAAGAATCATTGCAGTAATTCTCAGGCTGATTGGTGATAC